CCTGCGCCCCTTACAGCACCAGCGTCTCCTCGCCCCATCCCGTCCCCAAACCGGAGAGCAACGCGGCCAGCGAAAGTTTCAGGCCAAAACTGGAGCAGGACGACGGCAGAACCAAACTGGACAAACGCGACGATCCCCAGAATGAGCTGAAATGCCACGGTGAGTGGGAGGGGGGGGGGCGCCGCGGGTCTTTCGGACGGCCCGGTGCGAAACTGTTATTATTTATTATTATTATTATTATTTATTAAATTTATATACCGCCCTATCTCCCTTACGGGACTCAGGGCGAGCGTTCCGTTGTTTACGTTTCGGAAAGCTTCCCCCGTTGTTCCTCTGTGCTTGGCGAATAGCCCCCCCCCCGCACCCCCTTTCCTGCTTTCGGCAATTGCTTGTTCTGAAAAGTTCGAGCCAACTTGGAAGGTTGGCTGCGAATTGGCTAAGCCGCTAAGGAGAGGCTCCAGCAACCTGGAAAGTATTTAAAAATAAAAGAAGTCCCCCCCCCCCCCCGCGTAAGAAAACGACAAACACAATCAGGTTATTTGCAAAAAAAAAAATCTCAGGAACCGTAAATGTTTTCCCTCTGTTTTTTTAATAGACAATCCATATAACTATAGTTTGAAGGATATATACTGTATATATATATCTTCAGTCTGAAATATATATATTTCAGACTGAAGCTACGTATCCCCCTCTCCCTTAAACAAAACAAAAAAAAGTTGATGCGAGTAGGAGAACAAAAAGAGTCTGCAAGCGTGCATTTCAACAATACCAAAATGCCAGCTGGGATTACTAGAGATTTTAAAATGCAAATGCATATTATAAACTGCGATCTGCATGCATAATTTCTAAACGTAGTTCACACCGATTTAGCAGCACTTCATTAGCAAGGCAGACCTCCTAAAGAATTTATAATAAAATATGGTTGTTGTTTTTTTTAAAGCAGGGTAACAAACCAAACGGGTGGGATCCAATCTGGGGTTCTTTTTCTTTCTTCTGGTTCCTTCCTTCCTTCCTTCCTTCCTTCCTTCCTTCCTTCCTTCCTTCCTTCCTTCCTTCCTTCCTTCCTTCCTTCCTTCCTTCCTTGAAATGTTTCTTCCTTTAGACTAAGTTAGCATTGTGCAATATTTTATAGCGTTTGTTTTTTGGGGGATACTTTAGAGAGCTGTGTGCAATAGTTAGGTTCTAAAATTCAAACCTACACGGCGTGCTCGGTCCTGCCACTTCCTGGGGGGGGGAATAAAAGACGCCCCCCTCCCCACTACCAAGGGAATCTCACTTAACTGGAAAGGCTGTGTGTTGTTGTTGGTTTTTTTTTTTTTGAAACGTGGTGATGAGAGAGGACACATTTCGGTCATTTTACAACCTTCGGCTATTTTGCAGTAACTAATAGGGCTGCTATTCAATTTGCCATTTTAGCACTAACATATGAGCGTCTAGAACCAGATGCAGAGTTTCGTCTAGGGTGTGTTTTTTTTTTTGTTTTTTTTTTG